CATTCAAGTAAGTTTCAAAAAAGCCAGTAGTTGAAAAGATGAACCAAAAAGATGATCTCCCTTGTCATGTATTGCTCGGCTTGATAAGCCTTTTGAGTCACTGGTTGTTGGTGAGGGGCTAAGGAGAGAAGTCTGTGCCTGGTTTGTTTTCTGTCCATTTCAGCAAAGATCATTCCACTGATGAAATTAGGCCAGTGGACCATTTTTTAAGGAGATCAAGGAGGGAAAGGTAGGTATCCCCGGGGAAGTGTGCAAGGGGCAAGGCATGGGTCCCCTGCTAGAGGCCAATGGACGAGCTGGTGGACGTTTCAGAGGTGTGAAAAAGCAGCTTCTCTGTCTCCAGAAAATAGGAGAGGCTGTCTTCGTTTTAACCTTTCTAATTCCCCTTCTATTCTCTGTGACATTCATTCAGCTGCCAAGAGCGTTTGGCAAGGTTTGGGCCAGCGAGCACACTTTCAGTGACCGCTAACCTTGGTATGTCCTGACACTTATGATGAGTGTCTGCAGGACACAGAAGGCAGGCAGCCTGCTATGTCAGGCTTTTATTATGTACTGCAGAGGCTAGGGACAGTCAGTTTAATAAAACAAATCATCCTTGAAGGTAAAGCAACTGGGAAGAGGAGGAGGAAGACGGGGGGAAAATGTGTCTTTGCCACTCATTCTGATTTAAAAAAAAAAAGAGCAAAATAACTCCCCATATAACACACTGAGTATGTGCGCACCTGCATGTGTGTGCGCGCGCATGTGTGTGCATGCTGTGCACACAACCCAGCCACTGACTGAGCAGACTTTGAAACGTTCTCCCGTTTTCCCCATCTCATCAGAGACCACAGGGCTTTCTTTTGCTGTGAGGAGATTCAAGTACAAACAGTTGTGATGAGAGCGGTAGGTGCTGCTAGCCAGCCCCCTTCAAATTTGTGAGTGCCTTCAAGTGCCTCGTGGCGAGGCAAGGAGAAGCAAGACCATTTGGGGTGAGGCTCCTATATTGGGATGCCTTTTATCAGAGCAAAGTTTCCACTCTCCTCTCCTGAAGAACACTCAGCTCAGCAGCTCCCACAATAGCTTCGGAGTTCCAGCCAGAGACTTTGGAAGCCTTTTGTTTTTCCCCAGTGGCATGTCCAAAGGCATGGCCTTCCCTCCCCCTCCGCCGCCTGCATTGTCTTGCATTCCAGGGGCTTGATTGACTGTTGCCACCTGATGCTGAGGAGATACTCTAGGGTTCATTCTGCACATTGTTGGGTTCTATTAAAAGAAACCTAGATAAGGGATTACTTGTCACTAAGGGATTTTCTGCAGATGTTTATTAGTGATTGGAAATCCATTAGGTGTGAAGAGGTACAGAAAAATACAGGCAATATCATTCTCTGAATTCTAAGACACCCCCCAAAACATCAGAAAGGACTCCACTCCCAACTTACTCTATTAAATGGAGTTGGACAAATTGTCTAGCAGAGAGGCAAGGAGCTTTTTTTTTTTCCATGTGTGACATTTCTACCTGTGGATGGAATTCCTTGGCACACTCTCAGAAGATCAGTTGCTACCCATCAGTTTACCTCTTTGGAGCCACCAAAAAAAGATTCATTACTCTAGTATTAACAGATCTCAATATAACTTTATTTCATCTAGCCCAAAGTCAGTATGAGTATTGCCTCAAAGTCAGTAAGAAATCCATTTCATTTATTTGCAAAGAATTCATCCCTTCCCAAACATAAACCAAAAACTAAAGTCTCCTCCTGGGATCTTTTATACCATTTCCGTTTATTTTGAAGTTATTAACTCTTCTTGTGGTTTTTCTCAGTCACAGATCCACAGCTTTTCTAGGTTTTGAGGCCTCAGACAAGTAGGAATAATGAAAATGCCTTAAAAAGGAGCTAGCATGGTTTAATGGAAAGACACCTGCACAACTTATTTTGTGTGAATCTCTTAATCTTGTGATTTCTTCATCTCAAGGAAGCTCATAGTTTCTTCACCTGTAAAATGATGATTTCTGAGATCTAGCCCAACTCTTTAAATTCTATCTTATTTTAAAATCCCTTTCTTAAGTATTAAGGGAGAAGATAAGTGTGACTCTAAAGCAATATGGAGTAAAAGAGAAGGCACGATCTCATTATGAAATATTTATCAAAGACTATTCAAAAAATTCCACTAAGCATTGTGGGGGATGTGCAGAATAGAAACCATGGCTCTTTGAAGACACTTTATGATAAATTCATTACAACTAGATATAAATAGGAGAAAAGTTAAGTAACATCAGGACAGATACAAACGATGTTAAAGGATAGCCCAAGTGTACTACTAAAAGACATGAATCTTTAACACAGGATAAAACCCACTGAAAACCATCAACAAGCATGGCAAATGATAACAATAGTAAGACGAAGGCTGCACAATCCCCAAAAGAAGTTACCGGTATTTTGATATGTTCTCAGGCAAACCCTAGAACTACTCTTCCCTCCCTCCTCTAGTGCTTACGGATGCTGTTGTAGATGTATCTTCCTCTTCCGAAACAATGGTGGAAAGAAGGGGAAGGGATTAGTCAAAGAACAAGCATGAATGAATCACCAACACAGACATCGGAGAGGGGATGACTGTGGACCAGAAGGGTGGCCTGGGTGGAGGGAGGCAAAAGGGGAAAAAAAAATGGGGACAACTGTAATAGAATAAACAATTTTTTAAGAAGTAGAAAAAAAAATGCCCCTGTGAGCTTGGCCCCTGGCTTCCCAGACCACCGGTGGGGTCCGGGGAGTGGGCGTGGCTTCTAGCCTCCTCTGACTTCCTTTGGAGCAGCTGCTGTACCCTCTGTAATCACAGCTCTCTCCACGCCATGCCGCATCCCCGAGTGTTCAAGGAACATAGATCTTCATCATGGCTGTGTTGCCAATGGCCAGCAAAGCCACACTTCTTGAAATGTTTATTTTAATAAATGCCTATGATTATGTTTCTGCAGCATTTGGTTAACAGCTCCCAAATCAAGTAGTTAGAGTGGGTAGCTGCGCTGCCTAACTCTTCTCCAGCCAGATTCCCTCTCTCAGTAATGCCCATCTGATCAAGTGGGAAGGATTATCTTTGGGGGAAGAGGAGAGAGTACTTAGCAAAACTGCTTAATGACTTTTTATTTAGTATAAGGTGAGTGGGAGTGCTAATCTCTCCTCTAGGACCCTCCCGTACCGCAAGTACTCATGTATATGCAGTAGATTTGGGAGAAAATCACCAGAGTTCCTTAGAAAATCCAGATGACTTCTCAGCAGGGAATGGCGTTGGGGTAGATGTGAACATTGCTGGCAGACAAGGCTGTACTTTGATGGTTTTTTAGGCAGTGTTGGGAACTGTGTCCTGAGAAACTGGCCAGTGTGTGCATCTTTGGGAGGAGCCACTCAAAATTCTCACCTTGTCTAGATTCTGATCAGCCCTAGTTAGAGGCTGTTTTTTTTCCTAGGGAGTTATTAGGGTTGTTTGTTGTTGTTGTTTTTTTCCCCAAAGGACAAGCAGCTTACCATTGGAAGCACTGAATTTCTTTGCCTGATTTTAAATGTTTCCTACAATCTGTGTAAAAATGGTGATCTTCAACAGTTCTCTTTAAGAGTTACTCTCATAAAAAGGTCCATTGCACAAATTAAGAAAAGGCAGGGAGAAAAGGATCAAATATGTTCAACAGGACAGTATCTCCCTTTCAGTTTGATAAGCAGCATGACTGAACTGACATGCCTGAATCTTTCACCTTTTATATATGTAGATAGACATGTACACACGCACATCTACAGGGATTGCCTTCCTCGTATGTCTGCAGTTACTGTAAAAATAAAATATTGCAAGTGTAGAAGTACCCCGATCTCTTTTAGATCAGTAGTCTGATCTGACTACTGAGTGTCAATGTGTATTTGGAAACAGGATTTCGTGGGATAATTCTATGAATCCATTATGTTGGTGTAGGGAGAGGTAGGCCATGCTTTAGAATACTAAGTAAGTACATCAGTAGCTACTCCTTCCCCTAGACAAGAGGTCAGAATATTAAACAATTAGGCTCACTCATGACACATACACACACTACACATATATACTAATTGCTGATGAAGAAATGGGTTAACCATTAGGGATTCTAAAAAGAATATTTGGAGATTGTTTACCTTGGATTATAATGACTTTGAACTATTCTCTTGATCTCTGTGAACCTCAGTTTTATCACCATAAAGTGGGGATAATAACAACACATAAAGATGTTGGGGAATTGAATGACATAATTCATACTCAGTTTGTAACATGGTACCCAACACAAAATAAGCACTCCGAAATGTTAGTTTTCATCATTATTATCAGCTGCATAAATTACTCTCTTACGGAGCAATTCTAATCTCAAGGTCAAGTACTTTCTGATGTAGAATTTTAGATTCAGTACAAACTTTATATTTTGGGACTCAGTGTTAATGTTACTGTCTTACTCCTTTTTGTATGTAGAATATTTTATAGAACAGATTACATTAGTAGGCAATTTAGCACCTGAGTCATCCTTGGATACAGGCAGGTGATGGAGATTTTGGTTTTCTTGGGTTCAGTTTATGTCAAAGGCCAATTATTTATTACTCTCCTTTTGAGAATGCATTTTGTTTTCATAACGGAAATCAAAAGGACATACCATTCACATTGTGAAAGGTTGGTTGGAGACATGCTCCTGGAATACACCTATTTAGTGAAGTGAGGAATCCCAACAGAGTGTTCCTTTTCTCTACCTTAATATTCACAATGGAATCCTAGCTTTTCAATAGGTCTGCATGCATCCTTGGCACAAGTCCCTTTCTGAAACTCTACAGAGCTGTCAACCCCACATTACAATGCTACTATATATAACAACTTTACATAAGAGAAGAGAGGCTGGCCATTTTTAGAAAATGCAGGTGCCATGTAAGCCCCTTTCTGAAAGAAAGAACTTAGCTCAGTTTCCTTTGAAGAACTGAAGACTTGAAACTGAAAACTTTATTAATGCCATTGTCTCCTTGTATCAGCAGGTTCCAGAGAGATTCCTGGAAGTTGCGCAGATCACATTACGGGAGTTTTTCAATGCCATTATCGCAGGCAAAGATGTTGATCCTTCCTGGAAGAAGGCCATATACAAGGTCATCTGCAAGCTGGATAGTGAAGTCCCTGAGATTTTCAAATCCCCAAACTGCCTACAAGAGCTGCTTCATGAGTAGAAATTCCAACAACTCTTTTCGAATGTATGAATAGTAGCAATCCCCTTTGGATGTCCAAGTTATATGTGTGTAGATTTTGATTTCATATATATGTGTATGGGTGGCATGGATATGTTATGAAATCAGCTGGTAATTCCACCTCATTATCCTTCTCTCATTTTCTTCTGTTTTCCATTGCAAGGGGATGGTTATTTTCCTTCTGCCTTTAGTTTACTTTTGCCCAAGGCCCTTAACATTTGGAGACTTCAGATAGGGTTAATTTTCAGGGAAGAAAGGAATGTTGACTGCGGAAAGTCTATCTTGACAAGGAAAGGTGTTTGTTAAAGATGCTTCTGCTTGACCGATGCTTTGTTGCGAAGGGCTGTTGGCAGAGGGGGACTGGCGACACAGCACAGTTCTACAGACAGGTGATGTGTCTCTTGTTTTTTCTGCTAAGAAGGTCAGAAAACTCAATGAAACCACTTCAAAAACTTAAATATATTGTTTGGTTTGAACTCAGTAAATAGCTTTTTTATTACATGTTTAAAAATAATGCCAATGGCAGATGAACAGCTCACTTTTCAAAAGGATCACAAAAGGCCAAATTTAAAAAAAAAAAAGTAATCACTGACTGTCAAGCCTTTTCTAAGAGAAATGGCAACCCCCCAAACTAGTACCAGTTTCCTGTGGAGGCAACACAGTTTGGCACCAAAGTGAAACCGTTAAGACGAGATTGGAAATTTCCCCATGATCCTCTGGTCACCTCTCCAAACTTCACCATAGGTTCTTCTTCATGACAAGTCTGTATCATTCTTCACAGAGAAAAAACCCTATAACTTGTTATCATTTTCTATTTATCTTGCTGCAGATATTAAAAGGCACATAAGTTTCAAACTTACTCTTTGCTCAACTTTGTTTATATGCTTAAAAGAATTATTATTTCTCTTTAATATTTAACCCTTCTCTTTTTTTTAAAAAAAGAACCCATTTTCTGAATAACTTCCTATAGTAAGGCATAAAGGACACCCCGACTTGACCATACAATCCCTGCCTACACTAGAAGTTTGTTGTCAGCCATTAGATGACTTGGTCTTTGCCTCCTCAGAGGAGCCCGTACGAGATTACCTATTTTCATGTCCAATTCTGCACTACCCCGATGGATTGTCAAAGTGGTGACTGTCTAACTATGTGTGTCTTCGTTTTAGGTATAGCATCTTAAAGCAATTGATAAAGTCTCTTCTGATTCAGAAGCTAGTATTGACCAAAATGTGAGAAGAGTGGATAGCATAGCAACGTTTGGGGGTTGACCCAAAAGACACAATTTCAGCACACATAAGAAAGCTAGCTGCTATTTTATGCTTTCTTCAATGGTTCTCCTCTTCTTTTCTTTTTCTGTTTTTTCTTCAGTTTTTCAAATGTGTACAATGTTCCATACTTGCTCTTAAAAAGTGATGTAGCGTTCACACTTGTTGTGTTAGATGAGTTTTATGTGCAGATGCAGTAAGAATTCCTTGTTCATTCACTAGGTTTTTTTCAGACCCTCCCTCCCCTTAGGTAATTTGACATACACCTCCTAAAATGACACGGTAACAAACCTGGTATTTAGAATATATGGAACATAAATACCATTTTTCCTTAATTTTTATAAACATACATTTGACTCGGGAGAATGCAGGTTGACCCATGTGACTAATTAGCTGACCCCATCGCTGTAATTTAACGTCATTTATAGATTCTGCTGATGGACAGGAATGTGTGAAGGCAGTTACTGTCAGCACAAAGCCTTAAAACCTGCTGACTTTAAATGAACCTGCACCACTGAGGGGACTAACCCGCTCTCGCAGTGTAGACAGTGTGGTGGCACAGGCTGGAACACCACCCACGACCCAACACACCGCCCAACTGGCACTGTCCTTCACAAGGCACACGGAGCCATTAGATCCCATTTGTTCTTGTCCCAGCTTGCTGAAGAGGTGGGGGGTAGAGAGGGAATGTTTGGATAATCATTACCTTGGCATAAAACGTGAACCAAAAGAAAAAAATCCAATCAGCACAAAGTAGGGAAGCAATCTCAACCCTCGGTCACACCCTTTCGCCTTGCTTCCTGCAAATGAGTGTGACATTCACTCTTCACATCAAACACCACTGGGTCTTGGCTGTTCCATGGAATTCACATCAAAAATGTGTTGCCATTTGCAAAGTAAAAGGCAAAACCATAGTTTTTTCACCTATGTAGTCAGATTGCTAGAATCTTCTGAAGCTGAGGCAAATTCAGTGTTGATTCCAGACTGACTTGGATTTTTAGTATTATTCTCCCCTGCTTGTCTAATTTAAATGGCCAAATTAAGCAAAAGTGTATGTTCACAGCCAAATGTGGAGGCACTTATCAATGGTAACATCCTCTTAATGTTCACTAATGTTCTATGAGGCATAGAAGTTCTTTCAGAATAGAAATTGCAACAGGAGGATAAACTCACCTCATTGTTCTAAAAATAGAACTCGATCACTTTGCTTTTAGGTGATTTTTCCCCACATTTACAATCATAAGATCTTATGCCTCTGAGTGCATTGGAAAATGACAAAAGCCTGTCTCTCAAAAGTCCTATTTAACAGGGGTTTTTTTGTTTTGTTTTGTTTTTTTCCAAATCGCTATCTTTCAACTCTTAGCTCAACTCTCACCAAGTGAAAATTGGCTGTTTAGGAGGAAGTTAACTTTCTGTGGTGGGAGGGCAAAGGATGAGGGACAGTTGCACAGGGAAAAAAAAGTCTAAAGTCCAAGTTGAAATACCACATTATCCCTTATTTTCTGCTAAATTATTTTTGCATATACACTTGAGGTTATAGTCTGTGCCTAGACCTAAAATGCACCAGCGGGGGGATTTTTTTAAATCCTTCAAAATACCAGTTTTTTCCCACAAGTACAATTGTTCTTGTGCCTTCTGTGGCTTTCGATTCCATCTTTTTGACTTTATTTCCAATTACTACAGCTGCAATAAACATTAGATTTTTTTTTCTGGCTGTTTGACATAACGTTGATAGCTATGCATATTTTGTGTCTTTTTAAAACAAAGCGGGAGAATACGTTTTTGAAGAAGAGAATTTTTAGAACAGTTTGATACCGCAAATTATTTTTTCCTCAATTGTTTGAGCAGCATTCGAGTTTTGAAAATTCTTGTAGAAGCCAATTTTTTGTAACTGTGGTGCAAATCTTGTGTTTTCTTAGCCTAATGAAAAGTAGTATAGAAGCAATATTTCATACCATGTGCTATATATGTGTGTGCAAATGTGAGAACACAAAAACACATACACATATATACACATGTAAAAATATACATATATATATATGCGTGTGAAGTGGAAAGCTTACCTTTTCCTATCTAGATTTAAGGACCTATTTTAGACATTTGTTATGTTTTGTGAAAAGAATGTTCTATTTGCAACAACAAAACATTTAATTCTTACTGTATCTCTGGCTGTTTAATGAGGACGTTTCACATTAAATGGTAAAACAATGTGGAAGATTGTAGAATGTAGTAATTATTTAAGGAAATGTTCACCCACGTTATCCTGAAGTTTGCTTTGTGCCTCCGAGTATTATTTAATTAAAGTGTTTTATGTTTGCAGAATCTTTGTTGCTGTGCTAGGGATGTGGGTGAATATCATTTTTAAGAATTTTAAAAACAACAAAAAAAGCAAAACAAAAACACTAAAGCAAGAGGGGAACTTTTATAAAGCAATGTAAATATTTAACCTCATGGCTGTTGTTACGTAAGACATGAGATTTTAATAAATAACTACATTCTCACAACATCTGTTGAATTTATTACGAACACTACAGTGACTGTGTAGACAGTTGAAAGCATTCTTGAAAATCCTGCTCTCTACTTTTAAAAGATAACAGTCTCTTTCATCAGATGTCAAGGGCAAGGGTAATGCAGTTTCTGTAAATTTATGAAATTTATTTTCTATGTACATGAAGACATATAGTAAGTAAACCCCCCTACACGCACATACACACATGTACAGGTTCGTATTAACTCATAAAGCTGAAGATTTGGGGGCTTTAAAAATGGAATGTCCCCCAGAAGCAATCAAATAAATTCATCAAAGAAAAAGCAGTTTACAGACTTCCCTGAAAGAAGCAGTGTACATGTGAGGTCAGAGCAAATCTCTTTGCCATGTATATTATAGAATATTCATTGGTGTGAATAGTACAAATGTTTCCTTCTGGTACAACCTCTGTGTTTGCAAATTACAAGAAGCATTGTTTTCAAAAAGCTCCCCTTAAAAGAATGTAACTGGTTTATAGGAGTAAGCAGTTACTGTATTGCACTTAAATGTTATGTTGAAGGAAATGCAGCTTTGTTTTCTGTAGATCTGTTGGTTGTAAACCATCTCTAAAACTAAAGCTAAAATGCTCGTATTCAGAGCTGGGATCAAAACTGGTATTTAACCTTTGCATCTTCTCATAATTATCCTCCTAAGAATATCACAGAATCTCGAAGCACCTGGGCTTTCAGTCTTTTCAGCTGAGCCCTCTTTCAAATCTGACACCCACCCCCCAGAAAGTAAAAACATGAGCAGAAAAGGCAAACAGACTGGCCTTCTTTGGTGAAAATGTGTTCATTCTGTATCTTTAAAATATTGTAATCTACCACATCGGGCAGGGGAGGGGGAGTATTTTAAAATTGTCTATGACCACTTTGAAATGAGATTTAGAGAAACAAATATGTTTGGGGTTGGTCTCAGCGCTACCTGGAAGAATCAAAGTTGTGGGTTTTCCCAATACTGTCCCAGCCATTTCTCATGTGTATATAGTATAAACCGTGACAAAACACTGCCTTTATATTATTTAGCAATATGTTGTAAATAGCATTATTAAGCTCTTTTTTGTAATAAAGATCCTTTGATTTGAATATAGTACAATAACTGAACTGATAAAGTCAATTATTTTTTTTTTTTAGCTAGAGGCAATTTCAATTGTGGATTTTTGTTGTTGTCTATTGTTCTGAAGACTTTGCATAATTTATTGGTTTAATTTATCCTAATTTATTTGATGAAGGTGTACAATTTTGTATTACCAAGGATGTACTGTAATATTAATTGATATGATTTTAAAAAATGAGACTCCCTGTCCATATTAAAAAGAAAATAAAAAGGTGCAGTAGACAATTGATTTTAAAGTAAAAGTAAAAAATTTAGTTTGGCAGCTACTAAATTTTAAAACAAGAAATAAAAGGTTGATGGGGGGAGGGTGGGGAGGGGGTTTTACTTTGTGTGTTTTAAGCTTTTGTATACTCTCCAAACTTTTACCTTTTTCTTTGTACCACTTAAAGGATACAGTAGTCCAATTGCCTTGTGTGCCTTCCATCTTCTCTTAAACTGAATGTATGTGCAGTATATATGCAAGCTTGTGCAAAATAAAATATACATTACAAGCTCAGTGCCGTTTGATTTTTTTTAAAAAAACCTGATGTTTAATTTTTGAACCTGTGTTGAATTGTAGGGCAATAGGCTAGTTGCAACTGTAAGATCAATTACAGACTTTTCCTTTTGTTGCAGTTCTTAATTATACAAACTTAACATCAATGCACACAGCTCCTAGGAATGATTTTTTCTTTATTTCGGACACTTGCAGTGATTGGTTACATGTCCCTCTGAAACCTTTTCTCACAGATTTAACTTTAGCCTTCAAAATTTAAAAACAATAAAAGCTTTGGCTCAAAACAATGTTAGCTCAATGCAGTCCAAACGTTAATGTCTAATGATTCAAAGAACAAGGAAAAATGTTCCTAAAAGTCACAGGATGGTCTATGTGTCACTTGAAACATGGGAGGTGAGAGCTTGTAGTGTTTTTTCTACTCTGGTTGAACTCAGAACTAAGTGGTAGTGTAAAATTTCAAAACCTTTCTAAAATGTTCCTTTAGACAATGCTTGGCAGCTTGTTTCATACTAAGAATATTGGTCATATGGTTATTAAAAATTTCCTCTACCTCTTTTGCTGTGGTTTAAAATCAAATCAGAAACATGAAGAATTAGCAGACATCATTGTGTACTTGTAACCGACTCTATTAATGCACCTTTCACAGCTGCACTTCCTTCGCTCCATATTATTACAGACTGGCTCTTAATCTCTCAGATTCCTTCTTTTGCTTTCACCTAAATGAGGAAAGCTTTACATTTTGACCCTGTTAACACGAAGGTACTTGGTATCAATGCAATATCAAAACTCTGAAATGATAACAGTACTTTTTCACTTTCAGCTCTTTTTCTATCTATAGCACAAGTTTAAATTCCAGTCATCCTAACTAAATTATTCAAGAGGGTATGCCTACATGCCTCTATGCCAAAATATTCCCTGACCGGAGAAAATAATACCCACCCCCCTCCCCACAACACCAACCTGCTCTTGAGAGGGAGAAGGCATTTGCAACAATGTAATGACCCCTCTCTTGTACTTATTTAATACTGATCTGCTTTGAAAGAGATTGGATAATCCAGGCAGCAACTAAATCACTAAGAAGTTACAGCAGGTGGTAATGTTTCTGTTAGGAGGTTTACTAAAACTACAGGTTCAGGTCATCACTTCTGTGACTAAATTGCCGGCCCGCATTGGTCTAATGTGTACCACCGCTCTCAGTACTGACCTGAACCCTGATCTCACCCCTTGTTCCACATGTCTGTCTTGATGTCTGTCAGGTATGTATTATTCCTGAAAGTATAACCTTCACAGGCTAACAGTAAAGAGAAGTCGGGTTTTATTCACTCTTCTCTTCATTTTTCCTTGTAGATGTACAAGGTTTTTCTTAAAGACTACCAAAAGTCATTGCACTTTCACAATTAATTTATGAATACACGCTGAGGGAATGGATAGTGGTACCTGAATAAAAAGATGAAAACATCAAATATTGGCACTGTATTTCCAGGTTTAGGGGTCTATGCCCACTCATATTTTAAGTGGCATGGAATGCCAGGGAAGCATATATAAAGGAACACAGCTGGTTTTGGAAATAACTAGAAAATAGCTGATGGCGAAAGATTAATGAAGAAAGAAAGGAATGAATGAAGAACACCTCCCTTCACCAACAGTATGACGCTCTGGAGCGGGGTTCAAGACACTGGAGTAAAGAGAGCACTACTTCGGGTGCGGGGAATGCTGCCTCCAAACAATTTATTTCTATCTTTACAGGGCTTAGCCAAGGAAACCAAGGTAAGTTACTTAACCCCTGAGTGCCCAAGGGAATCAGAAGAACTGTAAACGGACGAAGCATTCTTAGAATCATTGCAGCCACCATGTTGATTTTGAGAAAGAGTCTTACATAGCGGGACGGGGGGAAGACAAGTTTATTAACGTGTTTATGCTTCTCGTAAGAAAAGTAGTTGAAGTTGCATCTCTTCCAATGGTACATGCATGAAAAAATATACATTTAATGCATCCATGTTGTATCCAAGGAAACCAAATGTGAGTAATGAGGAGCTAGAGACCTTCTCCGCCAAATGATTAGAACTGAAGAAAATTGTAATGATAATCCAACACAGTGGGTTTCATTTTCTAGGTCCCTCGCGGGGGTGTCCAACCTTTCGGCGTCCCTGGGCCACACTGAAAGAAGAAGAGTCGTCTTGGGCCACACGTTAGGTACACAAACACTAACAAAAACTGATGAGCAAAAGAAAAAGGGGGTTTTAAGTAAATTTATGATTCTGTGTTGGGCCACCTTCATGGCCATTCTAGGCCACATGCGCCCCACAGGCCTGCGGGTAATGCGGCGGCATCTCCAGGGCCACCAGACTGGGGCCTCTTTAACCAAAGGAGCTTGCTCTTTATATTGCGATGCAATACAATGTTCATTTAAAAAGAGTGGTTCTTTGCTTAAAACAGCAATGAATGATCTCATTGAGTATGAAAGACCAGTTCTCTAAGGGTGAATGCGGATACTAAATGACGGGTTCCGTCAAATCTTTATTTAAAGAAAAGAGTGTTTGCTGAACAACACAACACTCATTGAGTAAGAGATCTTTAAGGATGAATGTAAAAATGAAGCTAAATAATAGCTTAAGTGAGTTCTATCAAACCTTCAAAAAGGAGATTATTTTTATACTATGGAAACAGTGCCGAGCCTGGCACATGGGTTTGGGGGGAATCGCTCTTCATTCCCTTTCTTCACCTTCAGCCAGTGGTTACGGTCATCATGCCATGCTTTCTTAAGTTGGGGTCTCAGATTCATGCCCAGACCCATCACAGCTTCCCAGGACCTTCAAGTTTGAAGAACACAGAAGTTCTTCAAGAAATGAGAGTTTCTGTCCCACATTTCCCATTTCCCCAGGCCCTTGCCCTCAGCCTCGGATACATAGCTGCTGGGGCCACCCCTCCAGCCAGCCATGCTTGGTAGACCCCGAGATAGGAGTGTGGCAGCTTAGAAAGATTAAGGTGCCATAAGAGCCTGAAACAGAATCGCTTTGACTGCCTCTACCCTGGCAAAGGGGAGGGTATTATTTGCAAAGCCCCCTGCTGAGTGGCCCAGGTGCTAGCTAGACAGGCTCAGGAGATAGTTTGGCAGCCTCCCTGGAAAAAATGCCTGTGTCTCTGCAAATAAATCTGCTGGTGGAGAAAGCCTGGGTTTTCCCCAGTGCTTGTGCAAATAATGCTCTGTGCTCTGTTGGTACTGGAAATTCCTTGGTGTGCGTAGCTCTAGACCATGAAAATAGGAGCTATGGATTTCTTGTCGTTGTTGTTACCCCTGACCTGTTAGGAAATAATTCCAAAAATCAATGGTTTTATTTCCAATTATTCACAACTGGAAAATCTTTGGTAACTAGAGAAATGTTTTCCATAATTTCCCATTCACAGCTCTGCAACAGGCATAAGGTTGAGCAAGAAAGTCATGAAGTCTGACACAGAGAAGGACACATGATGATGCACCTGAGCATGATTTGGGCATGTGTACCTGAGTGTTGGTATCTGCATTCTCTAAACACTCATGAGTAATTATATACCACCAGTTCAGTATTATTTTCATCTTCATTTACTATCTAAGAATTTGTAAAATCAACACATGGTTAGATATGTGAGTAATCTCAGTAAAAATGTGTGCATTTCTAAGCAAAATGAAAAGGTAACAAAATTTTTTCTGGAAGTAAAAAAAAAAGTTTTAAGGAACCAAGGACATAAAAAATATTGAAGACATTGTCTGAAAAAAAAAAAACAAAATAAAACAACAACAACAAAAAACTCCTCTTCCTCAAAGGCACCTGGCCTCTATAGTTTTATGGGTGAATTATATCAAATATTCAAAAATAGATCATATTGGATAAACAAATCAGATTATTTTGTGTAAATATACATGAATTTATATGTTACCCAATTTGTTTTATGAAGCTCACATTTATTAACTCAATGCAAAAATCCTAAATAAAGATATAAGCAAATCCAGTTCATCAGTATAGTTAAAAAGTGCTATACTACCAACAAGCAGGGCTCATTACTTGTAACAAACTGGGATGAAAGAAGATCTTGGACTTCTGGATGAAAAACAGGAAAAATTTTCTTCATATGTTGATTTGTTTTTTCTGCCTTCTAATGAAAAATGAACTCAACCACCGTGTATTACTGCCTCCCAGTTCCCTCTTTTACCAGAGCCAAGCAGCCTTTGCTCTTTCAGCTATCCTAGTTTGCCAGGTGGCCTAATTCAGGTGTCACGTCTCGTTTTAATATGTCTTTTTGGAACTCTGAGTATTTGAAAAAGCCAGATTCATCTAGCAGGTCTTAAAGATTTTCCTTAGTAATTAAAAGAAAGGAAGAAATCCAGAATATTTATGCAAATTAAAAACAGGTTCTCCCTTCTGTGTAAAAGGAATCACAAAAAATTTCATTTTTCTGGACTACTGATTTAAAATAAAAACCTATTTGTTTATATCCTAAGAAGACAGGATAAGATATTGGGCTCTAAACAAGTGTTGACTTGGGCAGCACTGATCCCAGGCACTTTGGTGAAGTTAATAAGAATTTCATTATAAACAACAAGACATTGAAGAGAAACTTGGCAACATCCATAACATTTAAAAATGTGCACTCTTTTGCCTTACCAGTCTACCTCTAGCAACCAATTTTTTAGAAATAGCTGCACTTATGAGCAGGTAGAATCACGAAGCCACATGTTTGGTTATGTTAAATGTGTGATTTGTTTTTCTACAATTCAGTCTCTACCTCCCGTTCCATTTTTGTCTGATGGTAGAAAACAATCCAGTCACTTTCAGACTAGCTCCCATCCCTTTCCGCTCCTTCCCTCACAGTGGCACCTAAGTTCCTGGGTGTTAGCGAGGAGGCTTCTGGTTCTTGGTTCATGTTTTACGATGTTCTCCTCTCTGGTCCTGAAGCAGGAACCCCGAGCCATCTGATGCCAAGCTGTCGTCCGGCACCACAC